TGCATTTTTTCTGCGATTTTTTTCTGATGATGAATGTGAAGAAGTGGATGAGTGATGAATGTTGAGATGAGGGTACATCAGTGAGTCATATACTCACAACATTCATAACTTATTTACTCATTCACATCGATCAGAAGACGAAAATTGCACTAGCCTGCGAACAGGCTCTCAAGCTGAATTGAGAGCCTGCATCGATGACTAATGAATTTGAATATCTGCCCCGTAACGTTCGTTTTTCCAAATATGGAATGTCTATCCTTATATGGTGTTGTTTACAACTTTCATGCAAACTAAATTTAGACCGTGCAAACTAAATTTAGACCGTACAGTTTATACTGTTTTTCGAAATATAAGATATTCAAGCAAAAGTTCAAATGTTTTAAATACTGTTTTCTCAAAACAGAACATTTTGTGCTTTGAGATAAGACGGCCAAGACCAATTTGATCAGTTAATGTGTTTTTTTATGCATAGTGCTTCAGCAGTTGACATATATAGAGCTCAGCGGAAACATATAAATTATAGCATCTGACCAATGAGAATTTCGCGTCACGATTTAAGACGCAGATATTCAAATTCATTAGTCATCGATGCAGGCTCTCAATTCAGCTTGAGAGCCTGTTCGCAGGCTAAAATTGCACTAGAAATCGCAAGTGTCAACGGAGCTTCACACAGTTATTCAGCTATCATTCGAGGGCTTTCAGAATTTTTGGAGGGTGGGGCAGTTGCCGCCCCCTTGCCCTGGCCCCCTAGCGTGTTTATCATTTTCCGGCTGTTCTCTCATACATTATGCGACGTTTGAATGAATCTATTGAAATTAGAATAGCTCGTCCAATGGTGGACATCTTTTTTAAGCAAATCACTGGGGGGAAAATGTGAAATCCACACTATGAGATTTGCATTTGCACCAGTAAATCCATAGTATATCCATACTATTTCGATACTATATCCATGGTATGGAAATATACAATTATTATGGATAGTCAAAAATCCATTCTATTTCCGATAAAGGTCCATACAATTTCCATTCTATGTATTTTCAACTTTTTTTCCAGTGAGATGCTACAGCCTCTTTTCTTTTTTCTGCAAATTCGAGAGTATTTCTTTACAGATACCTTATCTTCAATTTTCTTTTTCAGGAATTGATTACAAAGGGGGAACCATGGACGAAAGAAATGGAACTGTCCGTCACGGACAACGAGCTCGTGCTGCTAGACACTGAGACTCAAGAATTGATCGAGAGATATCCTTTGTCACATATTGATTCCGTGCAAGATGTCAATGACGATCCCATGCTCAAGAGTGTCTTGGTTTTTTCAACCATCCAAACTCCTGAAAAATACGCTGCTGTCCATCTCTTCCAGTGTGATAAAGTACCGGTAAGGGACGGACCATTGGAAAAGTGATCGGGGGGGGGGTAGATTTTCTAAGAGGCAATAAATTTTTTTTGTACACCTATATAGAAGTAATTTTTTTCTCACTTGATGGCTGAAAATATATTTTTTTAAGTGAAATTTATGCCTTCTTCCAAGCTAGGAATTTTTTTGCACTATGCTTGGGAAGATTTTTT